GCCTTATTGTATGTATCCCATGGCTAAAAATGTTAAACAAAACCTGTACAATCTCTGCATCTGTCTGTATGTTTATGTATATGATAGATGTGTGATATTTTCCTACCTTTGGATAGTATAGCCAAATTAATTTGTAAAGAACTCTAATAGGCTGAAAAAACAAACATTTATATAGATGAAGTGTGTGCTAAGAAATATAGAAACCAACCCAAATGTTTTTCAAGTTCACGTGGTCTAGCATCTTTGGTAAATGAAAGCTAGTTTAAGTGTGTTGGTTTAATTAAAACAGGCATCTTTTTAGACTAATCAGTATTAAGTTGAACATTTTTATTCTACCAGAGTTAACTAATGTTAAATTATGTAAATGTAAAGTAAAGTTATGTAATCTCTGTTTTGTCAGCAAGAATGGTAACTTAAGATGATGGCTGGCTGTTCAATATCTCATGAAATTTTCATGAGTAATCTAAACATAATTGTTGAAAAAGGTAAATTAAAGGGATGTAAGTAAAAGTTTTAAAATGTACTTTTCAACAATAATCATACCTTACAATATGTTTACTTAAGATTAGTTTCCAAAGTCTTCTTGGTAACTTAAAACCTTAAAGTTGTATGAGATAAGTTAAATGAGTCATTAAACATCTAGATCATTTCCAAGTAAGATAAATATTTCAGTATTTTAGTAAGATATTTCAGTAAGATAAAATACTGAAATATTAATTATTGAACACAGGTTTATTCACTTTTGGCTTTCTTTGGTAGAGGAACTAAAGATACTCACTTCTAACCAGTAAACATGTTTTGTGCCACACTGAAAAATTACAAAGAGGAAGAATATACTTCTAGCAATTGGGAAAGGTATTTATAAACATGCCAATCTACAGAATGCTAGGATAATAGTCCATACTGCTTACTTCTTAGTTTTCACTAGGAGTAAAGGATTCTAAGGGTCAAGAATTTTAATAAATATATGTAATTAAAACTACATGGAAATAATAAAGGTGAGAGGAAACAACCGTACCTGTAAACTGAACTGGATCCTGAATTCTTTCAGTTTCCTCAAATATCTGCTACGACTCTCCAAACTAGTGTTTCCAGTTTTCGCCCACTCTTTTGATTTGGAATCACTGAGAACAATGACAACCCCTGAACCTCCTTGGAAGGGATGATACCAAGTCCTTGTCACTACCCAGATGGCAGCCAAACTTCAGGGAACTCAACCTGGGTACACATCCCCCACTTAAAAAGGGTTTTTCCAGACCCTTGGAACTGCACACCAGCTGGAGATATAAAATTGACTAGAGAGGTTCCTCCCCAGAAGCAGATGGCATCTTGAGGGAGACAGCTCTCCCGAGATCATGGATCAAGATCTTCATCCCCAATATGAAATCTTTATCCCTTTGCCTTCCTGCTACTTTCATTTTCCCTCTGTTAACTCTAGGAAGACAATGCCCCTTAACCCTGAGCACTATCAATGCATCTGGAGCTAAGGCCATAGCAACACAACAAAGTCCCAAGACTATCTTGCTAAGGTGGTTTAGATACTATAATTGCCATAGATTACTTGTTGGCTGAACAAGGAGGAGTCTGGGCCATAGCAAGTATCTCCTGCTGTACCTGGATCAACACCTCTGGTATTGGAGCAAATGCAATAAATTAATCAAGCCACCTGGCAAAAACAGGTTGATGCTCCTTCCGGTACATTCTTTGATATATTTGATACCAATTGGTTTGAGTCACGGGGGCCCTGGTTAAAGTGTATACTTCAGGCTCTTGGTGTTACCCTCCTAGAGTCAGCATTGCAGAGCCCCTGATGTGCTGTGTTCTCTCAATGGTCTTAAATGCATGTTCACGGCCATCAGCAGTGTATCTGGTGGTCTCACTGCACTTAGAGAAACAGAAACAAGACGAAAAACGAGATGAACATCAAAAACAGATCTTTCACAGATCTGACATCAAAACCTGTGAGTTTCACAATGACAAGAGCAACTTAACTGTTAGTGACTGAGTGGCACTAATACCAAATTGTCAGTCAATCTCTCCTGCATGAGAGGATAACCAAAAGGGTGAGTAAGTTTAATCAATTAAACAGAGAGGCCATTAGACTGAGGTGGCCCTAATGCCTTGGCAGCCTAGGTAAGTAAACCAAAATCTAAGCCTGTAAGTAAGTTCCTCAACGTTATGAAATCAAGATGCTAAGGACAACCAATCAGAAACAGCCAACTGGTTTATGCTGCAGCCAATCAGCACTCTCGTTACTTCTGCCTTTTCTCTGTGAAAGCCTCTCAGGGAGCTCCTGACAGTGTAGCTCTCCTAACCACACCTGGTTTGGTGCTGCCAGATTCCAATAGGTTTCTGCTCTTAAAATGTTTAATTATCTTTAGTTTACCGTTTAACAAGAGCACTTACAGTCTGGAGCTTTTTCTGACACTCCCCTCCTCCTAGAGACAGGTAAGCCCTTGTGTCTGTCGTCTTCCAGGGCAGCTTTACCAGAGTACCCACGAGGCTTGTTTGCATGCATGCTGCTCTGCCCCTCCTGAAATGTATCCTCTTTGAGGCCAGGGGTCATATCTGTATCTTAACTTTGTGTGTCTAGTATCCAGCACTCAGGAGGCTCAATAAATTTTTGTTGAATGAATTGGGGACAAGGAGAAGTGTTCAAGAAGTGCCTGATATTAATAGCAAGCATTGACCCATCACTTCTTATGCACTACACAAAGGCATATACACTGAATAGACTGATTTATTACTAAAACAACCCTGAGGTAGAAGCCACTATTATTGTCACTTTATGAAAACTGCATCCCAGAGAGACTAATCAGTTGTCCAAGGCTACACACAAACTAGAAACTGACAAGTGTGGGACCAGATCCCAGAGCCCACCACGTTCTTTGACTTTAACCCAAGAGGAAAAGGATGCTCCACCTGCATTAGACATGAAGACCTCTCTAGGGGTCCTAATCTGGATGAGGGCTGCCAGGGGGTGCTCCCATTAGTGGGATTTGTAACTTTTAGGATCCTGAAGCCTTGTGCATTGGACTTTTTAGGAAGACAGGGGAAAAGGCATTGCTCAAGGACATAAGGGGTAGAAATGGAGAGAAATAAAAGAAAGCATCCAAGTTTTGCTCTGAAAACTTAGTCTGGAGAGGAAATCTCCATTTACCAGCAAGAAAATGAAAAACATTAATACTAAATTATGGCTTAAGTATGACATGCAATTATTTGTGCCCAGAGGTCCCCCTGCCATTTATGGGGAACACCATCGTCAAGATCTCATCCCAGATAAACCACAATCTGAAGAGGAATCATAGCTCCAGTTCTGGCTTCTCCACTGTATTATCCCAACAACTGTTGTTGTTTAGTTGCTAAGCCGTGTGTGACTCTTTGCGACCCCGTGGACTGTAGCTCGCCAGGCTCCTCTGTCCATGGGATTCTCCAGGCAGGAATACTGGAGTGGGTTGCCATTTCCTTTTCTATTTCATAAGTCTGTAATCTAGTCAATCAATTAATCACTATTCATTATGTGCCAAGAGTATGCATTGGCAGTCCTGGCTTCCCCGATGGCTAAGCGGTAAAGCATCTGCCTGAAATGTAGGGTGCAGGTTCCATCCCTGGGTCAGGAAGATCCCCTGGAGGAGGAAATGGCAACCCACTCCAGTATTCTTGCCAGGAAAATCCCATGGACAGAAAAGCCTGGCAGGCTACAGTCCACGGGGTCGTAGTCAGACACAACTGAGCACCCAAGCAGGAGTATGTAACGATGAGCTGGATGAGATTCCCTGCAGCCCTGCCTTCCCAAACTTCGGGAGTGGAGCATCTTAAAGACATTGACCAAGTAAACAGCCCTTCTACTGCAGGGCAGTAAATGCAAGAAATGGGTAAGTAGAGGGCTGAGAGGGAATCCCTGGATGGGGGTATCATCGTCTAGGGAAGCCGGAGGGGTTTGCTCTTGGTTGTGTCCAAACTGAAACGTGAAGGCTGTGCACCAGGAACCCAGTGAAGGAGGAGGCAAGTGTGCGTTTCTGGAGGCAAGAACAGAGCCCAGAGTGTGGAGGACTGGTAGCTCACCACCACCTCAGAGTCAGTTTGCAGAGGAGTCTGCTAAAACAAACCCAGCACCATCTTTCCTGTTTGCAGAGGTCTGCCCTTCAAGAAGCACCCTTCTCTTCCCAGCATCCGCCATGCGTCCTGAACCTCCCCTCTCTGTCGGTACCTGCTAGTATCGGCCTTAGAACAACTCTCAGCTGTAGGGAGTTTACAATGTGTTGGAGAAGACAGACCTCCAGGGAGCATCTCTGCCAGTTGTGGGTGCTGGAAAACCACGGGGGAAAGCTGAGACGGGAGATGTTAACGACCCTGGTAAAGACCCATCAGCCTTGCCGCCCACTGCCCGCCCGCTGTCACCGGCGTGCTCCAGAGCTGCCACCTGCTCGTCCTGGCCCCGCTCTAACCCCGGTGCTTGCATCTCGCTTCCACCACGCTTCACACCACTACCCCCCGACCCCGAATCAAGGCCACTGCCCCTCTAGACCCGACTGCGGCCCGACGTCCTGCCCGCGGTGGCCACCGCGTTCTGCTAAGGTGGCCAAGGCGGCGCAGCCAGGGAGCTTCCCCGCCGCCAGTGCCCACCCCAGGTTCTCCGGTCCCCGGAGCCGGGAGGGCGCGTCCGGCACGTTGACCTCGTGGGCGCAGGCCGCTGCGGCCGCCTTTCCCAGGAGGGCTGGAGGGGCCGCGGGCTGCCGGACTCGCAGCCACCCGGGAGCCCGGCGGCGATTCGCAGGGACGCGCTCGATCGGGAGCGCGCGCGCTTGGCCGCTCCGAGGTCCAGCGGTGGCGCGGGGCGGGCAGAGGCGGGGCCGAGGGCGGGCCGGCCACAGCCTCCGCCAGTCCCCGCTCCCTCCCCGCCACCCCGCCGCCGCGCGCCACCTCCCAGCCCCCACCCCCCTCCCCCACCGCGCGCGCTCCGCCCGCCCCGGAGCCTCGCCCTCCGCCACGATGAGCAAATGAGCGCGAGCGAGGGCATGAAATTTAAATTCCATTCAGGGGAGAAAGTGCTGTGCTTCGAGCCTGACCCCACCAAGGCGCGAGTGCTGTACGATGCCAAGGTGCCGCCGCGGAGGGGCAGGGAGGAGGCGCGGGCCGGGAACCCCGGGACGGGAGGCGAACGCGGATGCGGGTGCTGACGGCGCCGCGGAGCGGGGGAAGTGGCGGGGCTCGGCGCTCCTTGCTCGCGGCTCCTCGGCCTGCGCGGCGCCGCACGGGCGGCAGGGGGCGCTCGCGGGGCGCCGCGATGGGGAGTCGGGGCTGGGGCGCTTCCGCTTCCGCCCTGGGCCGGGGGCCGCGCCGGCGCAGTAGGAAACCTAGCGCTGGTGGTGTCGCGCTACAGAAGCCGCGGCGTCGGTTGGTGCACCTGAGGGCGGCGGGGGCTGCGCGTCCAGGAGGCCGCTTCCTCAAGGCCTCTGGAGGTTAACTCTCCCCGTCCTGTGCGGTCTAGGGCCGCTTGGTCTCCCGCGTGATGCCTTAATCGAGCGGCCCCGGTCCTAATCCATAGGTAGCACCGCAGTGCTGGCTGTCAACCGGCGACGTCAACCGGCGACGCCGTTGCCCTGGGCCGGTCGTGGTCTGGGCTCGGCCCCTCCCGTAGGCCTGACTCCATTCTTCGAGAGCCAGGTTGAGCGGGTGTCCACCAGGGCCTAGCACCATTTAGGTTTTCAGTCGGCCGTGTCTCGTCCCCTGCCTGTCCGCCTAAGTTTCGGAGGTTGGGAGAAAATGGAGCCATATCAGCAGCTCCTCCGGTCTAGGTGGCGTGAGGGAGTGGGTCTCGCAGGTTGGGAGTCGGGGCTGGCCCCAGCGCCCCTCCGGTCTTTACGTTTTACTTTGGGGCTCCACCCCCGCTGCCCCTGCCTCGGGTTTGTGTTTGCCGTGCCTCCTCCCTCCCCGCCTTGAGTCTCCCCAAGGGTGACACGCCCCTTCATTTTCCCCCTGGGGACACCGCTAGGCGGGATGGCAGAATCTGCGAGCCCAATTGGCCCTGGGATCCTGCGGAGCCCAGGAGACTACAACTCCCAGAGGTCTATCGGCAGAGGCTCGCTTGTCAGGCCGGGACTCTTAGTTAGTGACAACTCTGCTGACTAATGGCTTCAGAAGCTACACCCGTTCTCACACTCAGAGACCAATCAGGGATTGGTTGGGGGGATGTTTCCTATTTTGAGGCATCCACTCAGGGGAAAAAATGGAATTGAAAGGAAAAATGTTTCAGCCCAGCTCTCCGTCTAAAAAAGGAGAGAATTCTTTCCTTTCTTTTACAAAAAAGCCCATGATCTAGTTTTCCTAATCCAGCTTCTGATATTCTGTATGTTCTGTTGTTTGTGGACGATATTTTCTGATTTCAGATCGTCGATGTTATTGTTGGGAAAGACGAAAAAGGCAGAAAGATCCCAGAATATCTGATCCATTTTAATGGTTGGAACAGAAGGTGAGTGTACTTGTTAAACCGGACTGAAAATTGATCATCTGTGCACAAGAACATTGCAAACTTCTTTGTTAAGTTTTAGAAACACTCCTAGGAAAGTTTCATTTCCTGTTATTGCTTTTTTGTCAAACCTTGCCTACTCTGAAAAATGATTACTTCTAAGTCGACTGTATTTGGAGTCTCTATGGGTGCTTTTGGAGACTCCCATTGCTTCTGTGTCTGAATGAGTGGTGGTTTCTCTCTTTGTGATTTAAAATATTTAAATAGTTTTCTGAAAGGTAAGTAATTTTGAGACACATCTGTTCCTGTGTGGTGCTTTTAAACATTTGTTTCATGTCAGACTAAAATACTGAATTTTACACTCTTTTCCTCTTTTGTTCCTTTAGCTGGGATAGATGGGCAGCAGAGGATCATGTCCTTCGTGACACTGATGAAAATCGGAGATTACAGCGGAAATTGGCCAAAAAAGCTGTAGCTCGCCTGTAAGAATACCAAAAACATGAATTTTGCTCAATGTGTTATTCTTTTAAGGTTTAGAATTTTTGTCAGAGAAAAGTTTAAAAATCTGACAAACGTGGCTTATCAAGTCATGTAACATATTTAAAGTGCAGTAGCAAATAGTGTTTCTGTTGTATTCGAAATAACTGCTGTGCTTTCAGAGAGATTATTGTGTAGTATTCTGAAATGGAGGTTACCACTTATGTTTTAAAATATAATTATATCTTCAATACTTAAGAATTATTGTTACTGCATTTTTTTTTGTTTTGTTAACCTCAAGACCCATATCAGTCAACATTTCAGTGGTATTTATCCATTTCAGGAGAAGCACAGGAAGAAAGAGGAAGCGCTGCAGGTTGCCTGGTGTGGACTCTGTCTTAAAAAGCCTCCCTGCTGACGAAAAAGATGAAAACGATGAAAACTGTGAGTGGCTTGACTTATTGTCTCTGGTTAAAAGGAGTTTTACCTAGTTCTTTTATACTGCAGGATTGAGGGGAAAGATTCCCTGAAATTTTAGACAAGGGAACATTGTAAGCTCATTTCATAAAACATTTGCACGTTTGTTTTTGATAATTAAAGTAGCAGTCAGAAAGTTCCTAATTAGACCTGGTGGGTCTTGCACATGACCCCTGCCTTCTAAGTGTCTTCCAGTAACCCCGTAGAGCGCCATTCTCTTTTTTCTTCTTGGTACCTCGCTCCACTTGTGAATGTGACAGGGAACGATAAGATCCTAGGTGACTAAACACTTGCAGATCATTTACTTGTGTGGTTTTTACACCCCTTGAGGTTGGTATTATATTTTTTCAAAATAAATTTCTATTCTGAAAGGTCCAATATTTGTGTTCGGCGTTTAAACTTTATGCTTGACAGTAGTTTATTATTACTAGCAGTAGGACACCCATGCCACCCTAAAGAACTGTGAATGTGAGGGTTAAGGAAGTGTGTAATGCAGGTTTGCCTGCTGTTTTTTGTTTTACCTAGCAATAAGCAGTTCCTCTGACAGTGAAGAAAAGGATGGAGAAATAAGTGAAGAGGGTGATATTGAAGAAAAGACTGAAGTGGTATACAGTTCTTATTGTAAAAACTGGCATATATTTTGGTGGTAAAATTTTCTAGTTGTGAAATGTTTTGTAAAAATCCATCTTTTTAACCAAATACGATAAAATTGTACTTCATATACAAGGGGAAAAAACCCTTTTTATTGTAAAACTTCTCTGTGGCTTTTTATATCCATGAAATGTTTCCACAAATCATTTCACGTCTTTCTTTCCAATGATATTGTGAACTTTTTATAATGCTGATTGATTTTTAAATGGTGTGTATCAAGAGTTTAGCATCTTCTGTTTGCCTGAATACAAAGTTAACATGAACCTCGCTGGTAAAGTTAAATTGGGAAGAAACGAAATAAGCATCTGCAATGTCATTAGTGCCCTAAAACAAGTTAACTTTTGACCTTTAATATACTTCTCATTAGAACACGTGACATCATTACTGGTGTAAATGTCAAGGATTAACAGGTTTGTTTCATTGTAGGCTGTGCTTATGTTAGTCCTTCCTTTGGGTGTAGACTCTGTTTTAGGTGGTTAAAATGGAATTGATATTGCAGAAGGAAGGACCAGAGCTGCACGCAAAAAAGGAAATGGAAGAAAGAACAATAACTATAGAAATCCCTGAAGTTCTGAAGAAGAAGCTTGAGGATGATTGTTACTATATCAACAGGAGGAAACGGGTAAACAAGAATACATAAAACATGGGTTTGTAATAGAGCCATATTCTGCAATCACAGGAAGTTGAGAACCTTGGAGGAATGAAACTCAGGTTCTGTACTGAGTTGGGTTTTATAGTTCTCTGGCAGTAGTGTTCTCCTGATGGAAGTATACACAGTCTTTTCCAGCCCTGGCTGCCTGTTAGAACCTTCTAGAGAGTTTAGCAGAGTCCTGATGCCTGGGCTTCAAGCTTAAGGTGAAAACTGATCTGTGACGTTGGAGGTGGCAGCTGTGGATATCTTAGAGGTTCCCCAAATGTTTCTAATGGGTCCCTAAGCTGAGAATCATTGCTTGCATTTATTTTTAAAATTAGTTATTAATTAGCTTTAAATTACTATTGTAATCTACATGAGGATATGATCAGTAGAAGAAAAGTCAGAGAGTTTCAAAGCACATTTACCTAAAGAATTATCTTCATACACAATTGACTTTATTTTGAGCTTCAAAAATGACATACACAAGACCACTGTTTCTTGGAATATATGGTTTATCCAGTGGAATGTATACATCAAATATTTATGTTTTTGTTAACAGTTAGTGAAACTTCCATGCCAGACCAACATCATAACTATTTTGGAATCGTATGTGAAGCATTTTGCTATCAATGCAGCCTTTTCAGCCAATGAGAGACCTCGTCACCATCATGCTATGCCACATGCCAACATGAATGTGCATTATATCCCAGCAGAAAAGAAGTAAGTAGGGGAGGGAGGGTTGGCATTTCATGGTTCACTCTGGCTATTAGAGAAGAAACTTCCATTTAGAACAGGTAACACTACTGTCCTTTTTTTTGGAATGTTCAGTAACTCTTTAGGATTGTGATATATGAATCCATTGAGGACATGCACTGCCTCAACACTAGAAGAAGTTTTCAATGATGTAATTTAGGGAGCGAACTCCTGTTTTTTTTTTTTGTTTGTTTGTTTTTTTTTGCTTTGAGAAGTACCAGAATGGGGAATGAGAATTTTGTTGAAACTTGTTTACAAACAGGTCTTTACCCTAATCTGAGTAATTGTCCCCATAGCTTGCCTTGGGAACGTGACTCAGCAGGAGTGGAGTCAGACAAGTAGATTGTTCCCAGTTTAAACAGGTGTGTTAGTTCATCCTGACCGCCCCCTTCAGCTGCAGGTGACTGGGGTGTGTCTACTTTCCATAGCACAGACTACTTGGACTCCTTTTGTGGAACTGAGCATATTCACTTGTGTTCAGTGTGTAAGTTAAAATCACTTGCTTACTGCACTCTATATTCTAGGTCTGTGCTCCCATTTAATTCTTCATTGTTAGCACCTACAGACTTTGTGTTTTGCACACTTAGGTGTAATGTATAGTGTTTAAAACTCTTCCTGATTAGAAATGTGCACCTTCATTGTGACATTTTGAAAAGTTCTGTTATTTTATTGCATCTCTAATCTCTTTAATCCTTCCAGTGTTGACCTTTGTAAGGAGATGGTGGATGGATTAAGAATAACCTTTGATTACACTCTTCCATTGGTTTTGCTCTATCCATATGAACAAGTTCAGTATAAAAAGGTGACTTCGTCCAAGTTTTTTCTTCCGATTAAGGAAAGTACCACAAACACTAATAGGTAAGTTAGCTTGCAGTTCAACCATCAGCTATCAGAAATCAAATAGCTAGATCTGTTTTTAAAGATTTCTGTTGGATGCTATGGGGCCAACATGTTTGGAGGAGGGAGTAGATTGCAAACCACTGACGGTCCTGGTGGTTTTCTTTTTTCTTGGGTAAGCATGAGTCATCATTCACTTTCAAATGTCTCTGGAAGTTTTTACCAAGTGAAGATTTCAATATAGAGAAATTGGCTTTAGTGTAGCCAATGCCCTTCTTTCCAAAGACAGTGGGGTGAGAGAGAATGGCCTGAGAAGGTTGGGTGTGGGTTTGAATTTGTGACTTGGTGAGGTGTCTTCTGAGTCTCTTGCTTTTCCTCTGAACAATGGAAAGAACATTGCTTCTGTAGGTGGTTATTAAATGAGGAAGTGCATGAAGGGCCGGCTGCCTTAGGCCTTCAAGTAAAGCTTAGTCTCTTCCCTGCTCTGCTGTGTCACCACTGTCTTCCCTCAGTGACCAAGCATTTCCAAATCTCCATTCTTGGGGTTCAACAAAAGTCCCCCTGCACCTGAGTCCATGCCTCTATCTGTGTAAGCTCCTTCCTTATCTGCCTCAGGCCCATCTTCCCAGGAGAGTGGTCTGTTTTCATGATTTCCACCCCTGCATCTCCGCTTGCCTGTTTCCCATCTATCTTGGTCTTCCGCCTCCCTCTGCTCCCCAAAGTCACTGACAGCTTCCCACTTGCTGCACCAAGCATTGCCCTCCTTTCCCCTCACCCCCTTGCTCCCCTTCCTCCTCAAGTCCTGTCTGGTAACTGTCTGTCTGCCTTATGACTATCTCTTCTTTGGCTACCTTCTTTCCCTGTTGGTTCCACCCCGTTTGGCTGGCCTGCGTCACTCAGTGGGGACCTATGTTGATGTCCCCACGCCCTCCTCCAAACCCCAAGGTTTCCAGTGTCTAGAGTGGACCGCATGTTTCCACAAAATGTGGCCAAAGTTTGTGGCATTCTAGCCCTATCAGTAGTTACACTGTGACGAGATGATGTTGTATTCTTAGTCTCACCACCATGGTTTCTCAGCCTTGGCTCGACCGATGTTTTTAACTGCATCATCGTTGGTGGCAGAGGCCGAACTATGCACTGTAGGATGGCGGGCAGCATCCCTGGCCTCCACCCAGTGGATGCCACGGCACTTTGCCAGTTGTAACCATCAAAACTGACTCCAAAGGTGTCCGTGTTCCCTCCAGAGTGGAATCACCCCTGAGTTGCGAACCACTGATATAAAACAAGGACAAAGGTATCACAGCCTTTTAATGCCAGTGTACCTTGAAGAGTTAAAGGGTGAAAATGGTATAATAATGTTTAGGAACCTTTTAAGAAAGTATTTGTTTTGGCACGTCTGGAAGTGAAAGTTTCTAAGCCTCCTGGAGTGGAGTGGAGGCTGTGTTTTCTGTCTGAAGAAGGACATTGAGGAACCCCTCCAGGCTTTGCAGAGATTCTGTGGGCCGGGCACATGTGACACATTCCTCTTCCTTCTGTAGGAACCAGGAGGAGCTCTCTCCAAGCCCACCTTTGCTGAATCCATCCACACCACAGTCCACAGAGAGTCAGCCAAACTCAGGCGAACCAACCACCCCCAAAAGGCGCAAAGGCGAGCCGGAAGCCTTGCAGTCTCTGAGGCGGTCCACGCGCCACTCTGCCAACAGCGACAGACTGTCTGAGAGCAGCGCCTCGCCCCAGCCCAAGCGCCGGCAGCAGGACACATCTGCCAGCATGCCCAAGCTGTTCCTGCACCTGGAAAAGAGTAGGTTTACTGCCTGCAGGAAGGGCATGCCGGGGAGAGCTGATGCTGACTCTGTACTTGCTCTGGGTCAGGCACTGTGCTCTTGAACCCAGTCCAGCGGGAGATGGGACCCCCCCCCCCACCCCCACCCCCACGCCTTCAGCTCTACAATCAGGATTCCTGGTACTGACCAGTTTCATGCTGACTCACCCATCTGTTGGCAGTCCCTCCCTCCAGCCCTGAACTAGTTAACATCCTGTACCTGTGGATCTGCCTCTTCTGGGCATGAATTCATCAGTGGAATCATACAATGTGTGGCCTTTTGTCCGTGGTTCCTTTCACATAACATACAACGTTTTCAAGTTTCATTATGTTGTACGTAGTTTATCTCAGTGAAGTGTGGAAATGAAAGTGTTAGTCGCCCAGTTGTGTCCAACTCTTTGCGACCCCCTGGACTGTAGCCCACCAGGCTCCTCTGTCCATGGGAATTCCCGGGCAAGAAAACTGGAGTGGGTTGCCATTCACTTCTCCAAGGGATCGTCCCAACTCAGGGATCAAACCCAGGTCTCCTGCATTGCAGGTGAATTCTGTCTGAGCCTCTAGGGATATCTCCAAACTTGATTCCTCTTCTTTCCTTTTTTCCATCAAATAATATCCCAGGTATTGTCCTTGACAGGGAAGTCTTATTGGTAAAAATTAATAACTTCTCTGCTGTTTGTAAAGGTCTTCCAGTAATGTTTAATTCAGTAGCTGTATGATTAATTCATGGATAATTAATTAATTAGTGACTAATTAAAGTCTTTTTCTTCTAAAGAGACACCTGTTCATAGCAGATCATCCTCGCCTGTTCCTCTGACCCCTAGCAAGGAAGGGAGTGCGGTGTTTGCTGGTTTTGAAGGCAGAAGAACTAATGAAATAAATGAGGTAAAGCATTAGTATTTGTTGTTCACCCCCATTGAACCCTTCCTTTTATGTTTTCTTAAAAAGTCTTACAAGAGAAAATCCCGTTTTCTTAGAAGAAACATTATGTTACTCTTGCTGGGAATATTAACAGAACTGTTTGTATGATGTGTAACACTGTATTTGTGGTTTCTAAAATGAGGATTATAGCCCTGCACTTCCATTCCTCTTTTATTTCAAAGAAGTCCAAGTATCGAAATAGGAATATTGTTATTTTATAGAACATTTGTCAGTACAGTTTTTCTGCAAAAGGCCAGAGAGTAAATATTTCAAACCTTGTGGGCTACATAGTCACTGTCAAGACTCCCCAGCTCCAAAGCAGCCCCAGACACTGTGTAAATGAATGCGTGTACTGTGTTCCAATAAAACCATGTTTATGGACACTGATATTTGGATATCAGATAGTTTTTTCATTTATGTGATATTATTCTACTTTTGGTCTTTTCTCAACCATTTAAAAATATAAAGCCCATCTTTAACAGTAATATTAATAGCCACCCCTTTGAGGGCATGCTGTATGCTAGCATTGTGCCCGGTGCTTGATCTAAGTCACCTTAGGTTCTTGAGAATAACCTTGCCACCAGAGTTCCCTTTTGCGGATAGGAAGACTTCAGTTTGAAACTATTTTGAAGGCCAGTTAACGGAGATACATAGTGAGTATTTCAGGAGTTCAGGAGATGTCTTAGTCCACTGGGGTATTGTATGAATCTTGCCTAGCAAGTGGGCTTTCCTTGTTTCTGTGCACAGGGGAGGATGGCTTTACAAGACAGAATGTTTGGTGATAGGGGTCAGCAGATTTTTCTTATAAAGGGTCAGATTGTAAATATTTTCAGGGTTGTGCATCAGCTTGTGAAAGTGGTGTGAATAGTTCACAAATGAGTGTGCTGGGTGACCCCAAAAGTCATTCCTGTGTGCTCAGTCTCAGCTCAGTCACTCAGTCGTGTCCGACTCTTTGTGACCCCATGGACTAGAACAGCATGCCAGGCTTCCCTGTCCATCACCAACTCCTGGAGCATGCTCAAACTCATGTCCATCGAGTCAGTGATGCCATCCAACCATCTCACCCTCTGTCATTCCCTTCTCCTGCTGCCTTCAATTTTCGTAGCATCAGGGTCTTTTCCAATGAGTCAGTTCTTTACATCAGGTGGCCAAAGTATTGGCGCTTCAGCATCAGTCCCTCCAATGAATATTCATGTATGCTAGTAATCAAATTTCATGTGATTTTTATATGTCTTGAAGTAGTATTCATTTCATTAAAAAAAAAAACATTTAAAAACAGTTGTTTTTAGCATGAGGGGGGTTGCTTTGGCTCAAGGGTTATAAGTTGACTGACCTCTGCTAGAAAACACAGTTCGTGTTCCAGTGATGTTGAGGGAAGGTTAGGAAATTCCTAGTGTAAGCAGTCCCTAATTTTCCTTTTTTCCAGCCTAGAAAGCCCTGCAGGTGTTTTTATTCAAGAAGAATCCTGTTTCTTACAGCGGTCCCCAACCTCCATCCAGCTGAGCTGGAGCTGATGTAATAATAGAAATACAGCGCACAGTAGATCTAATATTGTACTTGAATCATCCCCAAACTGTCCCCCGCCCCGGGTCCGTGGAAAAATTGTTTCCCACAAAACTGGTGCCTGGTGCCAAAAAGTTGGGGACCCCTGGAAGACATCTGAATATTGAGGCACAGCTATTCCCACTCTGGTCACTGGTGCAGTGCCACTATCTAGTGGTGATAGTTATAGCTACATGCTCTAGTGAAAAAGTGGTTGGAGTTGGACAGGCTCTCATGATGAGACCTTTAGTGCATTCCGCCTGCATAAAGCCTCCATTGCAGCATGTTTTCCCCAGGGCCCTGCATCCTGATCACCTGAGACTCACTCTCCCAATGCCGTTTGCTGCCCAGCCGCACCAGGGAGGGTCTGGACTGGCGTAGTCCTGGTTGAGATCACAGGCGATTGCTGTGCACACCCCAGTTGAGACTTCCTCCACTGGAAACCTGTTATTTCCCCCTATAATGCATCTTTGAGAGAGCTGATTAACTATACTGAGCTGCAGAATCGAGGGAGGGAAGTAGCCAGGCTTGCTAACTAACCACAGGATCTGCTTTGCACATGAGTGTGCCCTTCGCACCTCCAGTGATGGTGGATTCCCCCATGTTCACTTTGAGTGGCACTGTCAAAACAGTTCCTGCGCTGTGGCTGTGTGCACGGCGGAGTCCAGTGCTAGGGGTAGTAAAAAGGGGCAGGAACTTACTCCTGCCCTGGGGCTTGTATACCGCACAAGCGTGCGGTTGGTGAGGCACAGGCTGAAGCCTGGGCCTTCGGCATGGAGACAGATGGAACCATGGTGGTGCTTGTTAATTTCTAAAATTTCATGTGATTAAATTGACTACATCAGCCTTTCTGGGCTCATTTTGGCATCCTTCTGCTTTGTTTTATAGAGGGCTTCCTTTGACCCAACTATTTCCAGGTTAAACTTGGCAGATCTAAAAAGCAAAGCAGCAACTAGGTAGAATAGACCTATAATTTGCTGAAATATGTCTCTGGAAGCTCATCAGAGAGTTTTGAAATTCAACTGTTACTTTAACAAAAGCCCCAAATTCACCCACACTTCTGGAATTCAAAGTGAAGGAAAAGCAGTCAGTTGCCAGGGCTGAAGTCTATTTTCACTTGATTCAGTGGGTGAAATTAGTTTCCAGAGTGACTGTAACATAGCAGAAACTTCGAGAATCTTGACACAGTGGTAGCATTTCTCAAAACATCTTTTATTGCTTCATTGTCTAAAATAGCAGAATTTCCAATAAAAGAGAAGGGGCCGAATGACAAAACAGTTACAGCTAATTTACAGGTAGAAGCTATTGAAAATTAGGAAATCGAATATTTCCCCAATTTTAAGTCCTCCTTCCTTGTTTATTTTTATGAGTTTGTGTTTATTTTGATACAGTGGCATATTTTTTTCATCTGCACACAGTCTGTCATAATTTTAGGTGATTAGAACAGTCTCCATGTTGCCAAGGAAGAGAAGATGGCTTTAGAACCTCCACATTGCTTTCTTGTCATTGTCCTGTTCCCTCTTTGGTTTCTTCCCGTTTTCTGGTCCAACTGTGAGGCAGCTCCAGAGGTGCCAAATGGATGGGAAGCTCCAGGGTAGAAATGAGACCCTTGATGAGCTGTGTCTTTCTGCCGGCCTGGGAATGTCCAAGTGTGTGTATTTCTGCTGGAGTTCCAAATGTACAGGTCTGTGGGTAATGGAGTGTGAAGATATAACAGCAAAACATTCACTGTGCTTTTTCCAGGTCCTCTCCTGGAAACTTGTACCCGATAGTTACCCTCCAGGTGACCAACCACCTCCTCCCTCTTACATTTATGGGGCACAACACTTGCTGCGTTTGTTTGGTAAGAAATCCTGGTCTCTGCTTTCTTCTTACCTTTTTTATTTTCCACTTTAACACCTGTAGGCTTAGGTACATCTTGTGGTAATTTGGGGGTCTAAGAAAAATAATTGAATTTTGATCTCTTAAAAACAATGAATCTTAAATTTCATATAAATTGTGTTTGTAATATTTGTACTTACTACTCTGGGTTCAGTAAGAGTTTTGGTTTTGTTTGGCAGCATAGATGTTAATTTCAGTTTGAATAATGTCACGGGGACCCAGAGGATCCCTGAGTGTGTCCTAGTGATCCCCAGATTCTGCCGATTGCAAATGATTTTGCTTTTCTTTTTAATGCAGTGAAACTTCCAGAAATCCTTGGAAAGATGTCCTTTTCTGAGAAGAATCTGAAGGCTTTACTGAAGCACTTTGATCTCTTTCTGAGGTATTGTTATTACTTTGTCAAAACTTACTCTGCCACCGTATATATGGCTTTTTGAACTTGTCTTCAGCAGATGTATAAGCTAGCTCTGGTATTTTGAATGGTAGCAGTATTACCTAACTGTGGTTGGTTCTAATAGTAATTGTAATATGGGGAGTTGGAGCTATTTCATTTTCCCATAGTTTATCTGGTTTCTAAGCAAAGGGTTTGGAGGTAAAATTTTTTTGTGGCACCAGAAGAATCCAGTTGGATAGCCATGTGAGTAGAAAATTAATTTTCTAAAGAAGTGATTGAGATTGATAACTAAATAATTTTATGTATTTTATTCAGGAGTACCTTAAGCATGTGACTTTTCTTTGTTCCATGTACATACATTTGTAGGTCTGATTTTGATGTCTACTTTGGAGTTAAGAGAAATGGTGAATAGTCTTTGCTGATAGTTTGTGAATTTGGAGAAAGAAAGTGTTTCCTTCACCTGACAGGGCCATTTGGTTACATGGTTGGATCATTCGCCCTGAGGCTGAGCCCTCTGCTTACCTGGGGCCGTAGACCCCAGCCTCCTTTACGCCTGTGGCCCAGTTCTCACCCCTAGATGTCTATTGACTGGTTTCTCCCGGTGTTCCAGACTGGTGGCTGCTCTGCCTCACCCAGTGTGTCCCATCTACCTGACCTTGTTTCTTCTCTCTCTTTAAGAGGATACTTTTTCCTTGTATTTAGGTCCCAACCTGCAAGAGCTAGTCAAGTAGGATTTACTGGAGTGGAGAACACTCCAGCCAGAGAAATGAGTCTTAGAGTTTGTAAAAGATGCTTTCGTCTGGGTATTTTGAATAATGCATCAAATGAGTGGAATTCAACTTTAAAACATTTTATTAGAAACAAGTTTCAAAAATAACCTAATCTCCTTTAGCCTTCCCCTCAAACAAACCTACAGCTCTGTTTTGTAGCAACATTTTGTTAAACCAAAATGAAATAATGCCAAATGAGACAGCCACTAGTTAGCACAGGTGAGCCTTCTAATTCTGATATATGCCCAAAACAAAATAGAAACTAGGGTTTTAGGAAGTTACTTACAAAGATTTACAAATAAAATAGTACAGCTGACCCTTGAACAACATGGGTTTGAACTGCACAAATCCATTTATATGTGGATTTTTTAAAATAGTAAATACTTAGCACTACATGATCCATGTGGCAGGTTGCATCTGCGAATTTGGACGAATAGTGAATACGGAGGGCCCAACTAATAAAATCCCAAAGATTTTCAACTCTGTAGAAGGTTGGCACCCCAACTCCCATACTGTTCAGCTGTTATGAAAATGTATCCAAACATGTCAACTATAGAATCAGTGGATCAAGAGTTGCTATTAAAAAAGTACAATCAAAGAAGAAAGAGTTACCTCAAATGAATTTGACTTGGTTTTTACTGAAGAAGGTATTGCAGAGGTTTATCCTTACCTTTTTAGGAATTAGGACAGTTGGGAGGAGGCCAGGGAAACAAACAGGAAGCTAGTTACTTAGCATACTAGTTACTGTGGCCCATGTGAGCCTGTTTTAGCCGTTCATGGTGAAATATTTGATACTTCAGAGTCAAGATGGTGTCTGTGTTGCAGATTCTTCAGTGACTGGCTATATTTCAACATCAATCCATAGTCAGGCATAAATCAGTCTTAAGTTTTTAGTACTAAGCTGGGACTTGCAGCATCTTTTGGCAATGGCAAAGTAGAACTCAAAATGCTCTTTACTGATTAAACCATTCAGTTCTGTTTTAACTCAGCCTATGTAAGTACTGTGCATTTCTCAGGTGACATTTATTGAGTTAATAATTTATTTTTTATAGTTTGTTTTTTAAAACAGGAAAATGTAGAAATACTCAGAGGCCTTTTTGAATGGAAGTGTTTAGATAATCAAGACTGCCACCTAGTGGAGTTTAGAAGCTATAGAAATAGAATTTTGTACACTTGCTAGTGAAAGGATTCCAGTGAAATAGTCATTAACATAGAAGCTGGGTATGTGCAATGAACATAATCAGTATATAGAAATCAAGATTATATTATTTTTTTCTACCTAATACAAAAAGAGTGAAATGTTGCAGTTGTGGAAATTCCTGTTTTGCTTCCTGGTATTTAGTCTTTACTGTGGTGACCATAGGGGCTATTTTTTTTTCCAGGTTTTTAGCAGAGTACCATGATGACTTCTTCCCAGAGTCTGCCTATGTTGCTGCCTGTGAGGCACACTACAGCACGAAGAATCCCAGGGCGATTTATTAAGGTTTCGATGGTCCTAGAAGAACAGCTTCTCTATCTAGTTCTCAGTTCCCAGTAAAGAACTAGGTAGTCAGTGGGCCTTCTTTATGCAGAAAGCAAATGTGACACCCACCCTGGGGGGCTTTGGCAGAGGTGGGCCCATTCGTTTGAGTTGCTTACCTATTGTAGTTATTTCTGTTAAGGGTTACTTCCTCGGTGCCTCGATGGCCTACAACATCTAACCCTTGCCACCGTACACATGATTTGTGTTGGCAGGAAAACAGCAGCTGTGTTAACAATTATTTGTTCATGAACATGTGCTTAGATTGGGCTGTTTCAGTAGGCGGAGGTACTTGTTAGCAGTAACCACGTCTTTTAGTTATTTGTTGGCATTGAACAAAATTGTTTTGCAAACTGTTTTCATTCTTGTTATAAGGTTGAGCAACTCTGTCCCACAAATTCTAGTTTTGCTTGGAAACTGCAAAGTAGTCCCCGAATATTTTAGAGGGAGTCGATATTGATGGCAAAAGAAAATTTGCAGCTATACATTTGCTTGTTACAGTTCCTTTTCTATAAAACCTTATTTTTGGTGATTTAAATAAAGCATTGCCTGAATGTTTGAGATTTTTATAGCTACACTTGGTTGTGTAATATTATGGTTCCTGTTCTGTAAAATGTTATTTTTGGCCATTTCAAATAAATCATTTCCCATCTTACTGGAAAGAACCAGGAGAGAGTTTTTACTCTGGTCTTATCCTTTTCTCTTTATTTGTTGTGGAAAGCAGTAACGTAACTTTGATTCCTAAATTTTGTGTTTTATTTTGCTTTTCCTTTGTGCCTTTTTTGTTAAGGACTTTTGTTTTCCTTCCCTTTCTTTGATTTTCCTACCTTGGCTGCCTAACTGGAAGGTGGTTCCTGGAATTTGGTACAGCCCGTCACTGTCTTTTTGTCTGACTCTGGGCTGGTTTGGGGCCAACATGTTTATTGTCTTCCATCATTACATAAAATCTAGCAAGATGATGTTAAGGGGCTTGATATCCATTGGGAAAAGGGGTTTCAATAGATTAAGATTAAAAGCAGTAACTTGGGAAAGTCATGTTTACACCCCAATATTAGACTCTTCAATACACCAGTTAAATCTTTTTTTTTTTCCTTTCTTTGTTAGTAATTGGACAGACACTTTTTTAAAGCTTCTGCTTCTCTTATGCTTAAACCATATTCCTCCAGATGTTCATTTGGGACAAAGCCTTAGTGCATTTTTAAGCTGATTGAATTATGTTGTGTCTACTTACTTAGTTTCAATAAAAACAATGCTATTTTCTGTGTCTTTCCTGGAATACATCTTCTAAACTCAAAGTGAATTTGTAAATGACCATTTCTTTGCTTCAGCTTTCCCTCTGATTGGTGTAAATAGTGGGACCAGTAAGCAGAATTTATGTCCCCAGTGAATATCTTCAACATGTGGGATGACATGCTTACCCAGCTCTACTCCTTTGGCATGTAGACTGGCGCATCCAATAGGGGCCCGGCCCAGATCACCTTGCTGTGGTCGGAAATGTTGCCAATGTACCTCTGGCATTGAAAGCATATGTATTATATCTGTCCTCACACACCAACAAATACAATTACAATAAATGAGTGAATAAGCAAGAGTTCATGTGTTGAACAGTCCGATTGTAGTCTCAGGGGATGGTGGACATTTCTGAGGACCAAAGGAAAAGCAATGAAGGGTCTGCTTCCGAAAAAGAAGATTGGGGCATGTTTGCTGGGGGACTTACAGTGTAAACCTTTCTTTCATCACCATAAGTGACCATGGCCAAAATGTCAACCATTCACTTATAGCTTGAGGAGATAGATGTGTGCTTTTGACCTTTTTGTGAAGGTAGATTGCCAGGCTGGGACTGACATCCAGTTAGGCAGGGAGAGAGCAAGGATCCCCCAAGAGTTGGTAACACCAGGTTCGTATGTTCTTTCACTCATCAAAAGGGGTCTAGCAGGAGGCAGATGCAAATGACCACATATGATTCCATCTGTGATGTGTCCAGAGGAGGCAACCTATAGAAACAGTAGATTAGTGGTTGTCAGAGGATGGGGAAAAGAGGGAATTGGAACTGACTGCTAATAGAGCTGAAGTCTCTTCAGGGAGATGGAAACTTCTGGAATTAAGACAGTCATGATTATTGTCCCACTCTGTGAGTTTACTAAAAAACACTGAATTTTACATATTTTTTAATGGTGAGTGTTATGGCGTGTGAATTACATCTCAGTTAAAGCGTAGAGATCTAGGGATTGGCAATGCCTAAAACTCTAAGAAAAATATTCCACAGAAATCCATTTTTGAGAGCCAAATGGCTGGCTATTTGATCTAATCATTCACATGTCTTCTTTCATGCATCATTGCCCAAGGCAGGCGAAGCTCCTTTCCTCACTCCACTGACTTTATACTTCACCAGAGGGTCAGGAGACCCAGGGCCATGCCTTCATACAATATCTTTTATAGGAAAATGGGAAGTTGGCAGATCTTCAAACCTCTCTGACTCCCAAATTCTTCTGCATGGCAGGGCATGAGGAATAATGATATATGGATATTCTGATATAAGCCAAAAAGGTTAACAAACAGTTTAGTGACAGCAAAAGTAACATGGATTAAGAATAATGCAGACCATAGCCAGGTCGTCTTTACAAGTCTTCCTGTTCTGGAATTTCTTTGCAACATCAATCTTTATCCTTCTAAGAGGTCATAAAAAAGCATAAGTGGTAAAGTGCTTGACTGTGTTTTTCTATTGATTTGTACTTTCCTCACTCAGATTTACAACTTTCAGTGGAATGATTTAATAAGTCATTTTGGAGCTCTGGTTTGGCACAAGGTAAATTAGACCAGCCTGCAGGTTCTATTTACTGTTCAATCTTCACTGTCGTAAAGGTGACTTTTGAGACAATTTCAGGTCATCAGCCTCTATTAGTTACCCATTATTATCCAGAAAATAATTTTGAGTGAGACGATTTGTGAGCTGTATAGAAACACACCTATTAGAGTCAGAGGATGAAGGCTGCTTAAATGTGTTTGGGTAGTACATAAACTGTGAAAACAAAAATGCTCTGTTAGAGGGAAAGCCTAGTAAGGTTTTCTTTTCTTATATGATAATCCATTTTACCTTTTATATTCTATAGTTCATAAAACTTAACCAGTCATAGTATTAAAACCTGATTTAATTTGGTGGTCTAGAAGAAGCCATAATGTGGTAGACAGAATGAAGAATGTTTCTAAATCTTTACATACACACCATCTCCATGTCCCTAACCCCTGAAATGTAAATTTGCAGTTTCTCTTATTACGAGATAGGATCTAACATTTAATACTGTAAATCAACTGTACTTCAATCTTAAAAAGATCAATTTTCCTTCCCCCTTGAATTTGGTCTGGGGTGTGTGTGTAAGACTGACTTTGAGTAGATCTCAATGAGAGAGCTGTTTTTCTGCATAGAAAACACCAACTAGGCTGGCTTGGGGACTTGCTTTGGCCAAGAAAATGTGCCAGAATTGATTCACTTCCCTGCTCTTTCTTAGATGTGGACAAGCCTGGGCTAACCTGCTGGATGATAAGAGACATGCTGCCTAGGTATTGTCATCACTCAGCCAACAGCTAGCCAATTGCTCACCATGTGAGTGAAACCATTTTAGACCAACCAACCAACCCCCAGCCTATACCAGCCCACCACAGATGCGTAGACAAGTCAGTAAAAATCTGCCAAACCCATCCTAGGTTAACAGAACCACCCAGTTGACCCATATATTACAGACTGAAAATAAATGCTTATTGTTTTAAGTCACTGTTTGGGGGTGGTCAGTTATCCAGCAATGTGCCTATATATTTTGCACTCTCTCTACGGAACAGCTCAAAGTCCATTCCCTTGGCTGAAAAGGCTGAAATCCTGGCATTTCAGAAGCCATCAGCTAACCAAAGGAATGTGTACCTGCTCTTGCTTCTAACCAGGTACCAAGTGAGAGAATGGACAAAGACAGCAACACACCCCAAGATCCCAGATCTTGTAGCTAGCACAACCTGGGTTTTATTTTGTAAAAAATCTAAAGTTTGCAAGAAAACTTGAAAGGAGAATATAATAAAATACACTTTCACCATAAAATTAACTTTATTGTGTGAGATTTGTTTCCAGCCACTGTTTGAAAAAGAAGTAAAACATTTTGGATTTGGCTAAAATTCTTTTTTTACCATTACCTGGATCTCAATCCTTGACCCTTCTGAGTTTGGTGTAGTGTGGACAGATATTGTGTACATGGAACTTCCTGCTCTTATACTCTTCATCATATTTTAACATATAGATTCATATTTACATATATACATATACATACATGTATAAATATACATTTGTACCTATACAAAACTGCATCAATTTGTGTTCTCACACAGACACACATTGAGTCCTTTTAATTGCTGTGTAAAAATCTGTCATGTGCAGAAATATAGATCAATGGAACAATAGAAAGCCCAGAGATAAATCCACGAACATATGGACACCTTATCTTCAACAAGGAGGCAAGAACATACAATGGAAAAAAGACAACCTCTTTAACAAGTGGTGCTGGGAAAACTGGTCAACCACTTGTAAAAGAATGAAACTAGAACACTTTCTAACACCATACACAAAAATAAGACTCAAAATGGATTAAAGATCTAAATGTAAGATTAGAGACTATAAAACTCTTAGAGGAGAACATAGGCAAAACTCTCTCCGACATAAATCACAGCAGGATCCTCTATGACCCACATCCCAGAATATTGGAAATAAAACCAAAAATAAACAAATGGGACCTAATGAAACTTAAAAGCTTTTGCACAACAAAGGAAACTATAAGCAAGGTGAAAAGACAGCCCTCAGATTGGGAGAAAATAATAGCAAACGAAGCAACAGACAAAGGATTAATCTCAAAAATATACAAGCAACTCCTCCAGCTCAACTCCAGAAAAATAAATGACCCAATCAAAAAATGGGCCAAAGAACTAA